AAATAGAGCTTGGGCAGGAAGCAGTGATTTAAGACTCTAGCATACAGCAGGCCGTCACTTTTCCATACCAAACATGCTCCTAAGAAATCACTTGGTTATTTTGCCTATGCTGCTTTGTAACTTTTAGGTTTTTTTTCATACTTCCATTTCTTTTCTACAATAGCAAAATTTGGTAAAGCATGGCTGGAGGTGGCTATGTATCACTGGGTAAGTTTCAGACAGTGGGTGTACATGGATCTTTGTATTATTATTTATAGAACATATAGTCTTGGGTTGTTTGCTTTATAAAAGTGGTATTAAGAGTTATCAGTTTGAAAGGCAAGACAAATTAGCTGGCATAAAAATGTGTCTTTAAGTTCTGTTTCAGAAAGTTTTCCCAATCAATGACCTATGGAGCTTGTCAGTTCTTCACTGGTGTTTGCATTGTGTTAAAAACCTATCAAAATAAATTATCTGAAAACATACAAAACATTATTAAGCAGCCGACCAATTAAAATGTAATTGGCTGCATCCTCTGTACAAGAGCCTCAAAAAGCAGCATAGTCATTGATTATAAGAACATTGTCTACAAAATATCAATGTGGAAAATTTCATTTTAAATTTTCTTCCATAAGGAGAGTTACTATAAATAGATTTGACTACACAGTGTTGCAGAAAAACACTGCTGAGACCCTCATTCTGATCCATCAAACTCAAATTTCAGAATGGGTTTGCTTAAAATGTGTATCTCTTCCTTCAGCATTTGAAACCCTCACTGATACAAATCCACTTTTACAAGGGCAATAATAAGCAGAAATTCAGCATCCAAGGTAAGTATATAAACAACCAGCCATTCACTGGATTCTACTGGGTGGAGTATAACAATCGTATATGGTCCTCAGTTAAAGTTACAGTCACAGTGTTGGCTAGAATTCTGCACCTATGTTAAACAGGAAGTGTTAAATTTCAGCCAGGATAGACTATGAAAGCTTGAATAAAACCTTTCAAAATACTGGTTTATACCTAAAAGTTTGGGAAAATCCTTAGTCGACCCAGCAGTGACACTTATTATAGAATAACAACTCTACTCTCTCAAGAATGTTTGCTTCAAATATAATGTAGAACTCTTAGACTCAAATGTGCAATACTTATGAACAATTGATAAGGAAACAACTATAAGTATAATGTCCAGATTTGTTCTTGAATATACAAATTGAATCTTTATGAGGCACGAATTTTTAAAAAATGTCTTATTATTTTTATTTTATGTATATGCATGTATTGCCTGCATGTAGGTAAGTGCACCTGTGTCGTGCAATGCCCGTGGAGAACAGAAGAGGTTGTCAGATCCCCTGGAACTGGAGTTACGGACAGTTGTTAGCTGCCATGTGGGTGCTGGGATTTGAACCCAGGTCTTCTGCAAGAACAGTCAATGTTCTTAACTGCTGAGCCATCTCTCCAGCCCCAAGGCATGGATTTTAAATAGGAAAAAAATGTTCTCAAAGTTTAGTCCTCAAAAGTAAAACGTCTATGACTATTTTAATGGCAAAATTTTAAACTATTTTTCTGTCATTAAAAAAAATGTGTAATTAAATTCCTTGAATGAAATAATTGTTGAAAAGTTATATGGAAGTAAACCCTGTTGAGTAAAATCAGTCATTTATACCAAGTATTTAATGGCATAAATCATCTCCAACTCTACACAGCACAAACAGAAAGCAAAAAGCAAAGAAAAGGAAAACGGCATGTTGCTACACATTCTGAGTTAATGGGTTAAAAGGGTTTCCTCCTGTTGCTATGACAACCTTTTTTTAAAAGTCAGTACTTTGAGCACCAGTAATAAAAAAGCAGCAGACCATGACTAGTTACCTGGTGAACCTGCCCTTGACTCCTACAGACCCTGTACGGCTCTGACCCTTTTTCCTCAAGCCCTACAGGATAGTGACTCCCCAGGCAAAGCCTAGCCATACAAACTGGTACTCACAGAAAGTCACCATTACTTTTTAGAAACCTCTTCTCCACTGCAAATTTTATCTCAAAAGTGGTATGTGTGGAAATTCCCTGTGTGAGTGTTACACATGGTGGGGACCAGCAACAAAAAGTTTTTAGTCAAGTAGATGGTGGTGACTGCCAAGAGGTAGGGTGGGCACTGCTGAAGCCCAGAGAATCTTCTGTACTAGATATTCTAGAAGCTAGATTAGCATCTTTAATCACTCTAAATTCCAATTAAAATGTGCATTTTAAAAACAGAGCAAGTCTGCAGGAGACACATCAAATTATTATTGTTTTGAGAAAATGAAAACATGGGAAGAATATTTTTATTTTTCCCTGAGTAGCATTTAATTAAACAGAAGTACAAACATGATGTGGATTGACCATCTATGGAGTGATTTGAGGAATGGAAAATAGAAAGCCACACTAATTCCTATTCTGTTGATTAAAAGTAAACAAGTGTATATTATAAAGAACTCCTTTAGGCTTGATGGTAGTAGAAGCATTAGTAGGAAATCCTTCTAAATAGAAGCAAAATTATCTTTTCAACATCCCAAGTAGATAGATGTTCATTTTGTATTTTTATAGAACATTTTTTCTTGAAAAAATTTAAGAATTCTAGTTATTTTTATTTTAGATTTCATCTTTGTGATTATTTCTCCAAATCAGAAAACAGTCATCCAAAAATTGTTTCATAAATGTAACTGGTAGATGCAGAAGGGTATTTTAAAAAAAAAAAAGCAGTCAGATTGGAACTGTGATATATCATTTTCATAGGAAGCAGAACAATTATCAATTGTCTTGCTTTCTGGCTCATGGTACTCTATGATTGTAAGTTCACTGAGCCAGAAACAGGTAACAGTGACATAAGTGTAAAGGCTCAGAAACAAAATATGCTCAGATAACAGAAAAAAATGGTGACTATTTCTAAGTGGCTGGATAGTATGAACAACAACAACAACAACAAAAACCCTCCGAAGGTTTTACTGGGCTTTCTCGTTTTTCACTTATGAAATGCCCAGAGTTGCCCTTTAAACTCTGGGTCTGATCACTTTCTTTAACAGTGACTGGATTGTCCACAGCGTTCATGAAGCTGCCAGAGTCATTTTGGAGCAGGTACTGTCCATGAACACTCTCAAATTCTACCGCCAGTTTAATTTCAACTGCTGGGAAAACTGACATTTATTTAGCCACCTGTCCTTTTCTGGGGTGGGGAGTGGGGTAGGGTAGAGGACTCACCTCAACAGATAGAAACCTGCCTTCAGAAAAGTAAAAATGGGCCAAGGATATCTCTCAAATTCTAGAACAACAGCTGGCGCCTTTGCTGCCAGGCCTCAGAACTTCAACTGTACAAACTCTGCCTTTCTTCTTTAGCTGAAAATACTAAGCAGTTCAAACTACCATTCTTGGCACCTCAACTTCACTTACAAGGCATTAGTGACAAAAAACAAAAAACAAAACAAAAAAACCACAGACAATTTGCATTTCATTTGAAAATTTAAGGCAAAAATAAAACAAATTTGGCAGAAGATTGTTCAAACAACAGTGAAGCCCAAAAGCTCTGCCCCTCCTCTCCAACAGGATGGAAACAGTGGTCTGTAGCTACGGTCACAGTTGCCAGGCCTCAAACCCACCTCCCTTACAGCTGCTAAAGCCTGAATGACTATGCTGTGCTGTTCAGGTTACAGACACAAGGCAGGATCATTCACAGCAAAAATGGCCCCTAAGAGGAAAATACATTTCTGTTTTTATATACTCTAAAATTCTTTTAACAAGAGTTTAACAGAAAAAAATTTAAATGCATGAGGTTAAAAAAGTTTAGAAACTAATTTATTGATTTTCAAAACAATGCCATTCAGAATCATCAACTAAGTTTTCTTTTCCCTAAATCTTCCACAAACAGCAATGAAAGTAAGAGGGAAAAGAAACTGATTAGCCACATAGCAATCTTCATTCCTAGAGATTTCCTTCAAAACTCTCCAATAGTCTACTATTGTTACTCTCATAATCTTTTCTTATTCTATATCATTTATGCTTGATAAATTTCATTGAAAAGTCCACAGTATAATCACGTTATTAACCTTTTGTGTCCCACAGTTGCACTGATCTCAGATACAGACGGGGAAGCCCTCTGCTTCTAGCTCCTGGCCACACATCACTTTCTTCATTCTGACCTGCTTGCCTCATCTTCTCTTGTTATTTTTTTTAAGAAAATAAGCCTAAAATATCACATTGCTAACCTTTAATTATGTTTCAGAAATTCCTCCTGGAAGGGCTCCCTGACTGACACAAGGTAATTAAGCTCCCCAGAAAAAAAATAAGCTACCTATAATTTAGCAGCCCTTACTGTTTACAGTCCCACCACAGAATGTAGTCATCTGAGATACTTTAAGAAAACCCTTCAAATACTGAGATGTTTATTGCATTTTTAAGATATCCACAATCTTAAATATCTGGTTTTAAATTCCTCCTCAATCCCTTAGAGCACACCACATCAAATGTTGAAATCATCTCCTTGTAATATTACACTTGAAAATACCATTAGGAATAATATTTTAGGAAATAGAAGGTTTAAGGCAAGACATTCATTTGGAAAGTTAATCTTTCAGTCATCCAGACTGATATGATTATTTTTCCACCTCTTCAGTGCCTTGGGATATGCAATGTACATTCAGCAACAGAGCACACATATGACCTTGAGGACATATGCTGAGGTCAGAGTGCCCCATTGAAATATGGAAAGAATTTTATAAGGCGTGGCCCACAGGGACATGGCATGGGAGGGGTTATTTCATTCCATTTCCAACCTGGTACACAGGAAATCTCCTATCTATAACTGTCCCGTTTCCCCCCAGTTAGTCTCTTCTTAAACACGCATCCCTGGAAGGTGTTAAGATGAGTTTCTGTTCACAGCCAGGAAACAGTCATCAGGGTGCTATCCAAATCACTGCGTTATGGATGAGTGTCTAGAGCCCGTGTCTTGGTTCTGATTGCAAACGTTGTTTGTTGTGGAAAAATTGTTCTGTTCCAAAGAATTTTTTCTCTCGTCAAACTTTTTGGATAGTGAGAGCTGAACATTTTCATGTGTAGTCTTTCCTCTCTGAGTTTTTTTCACTGGAAGCAGCAATAACACTACGATACTACAAATGTGAAGGCAGTAATACCAGGAGCTACAAGAAAAGGGAAGTCAGTTTATTAACTTTGGATCATTAGTTCACACTTGTCAACACACAGGGCCCCCCTAGGACATATTCATGTGTTACATTATTCTTCCAGTTTCTCCATGGTCTAGGTTGGGGTATGGAAAAAGCATGGCAGAATCTCTCGACTTACATAAGGGTGTATTTTACTGCTTTGTAAGGGTCAGGAGGCCCCACGGGATGCAAAAGTGCTTATTCACAGCAGCAGCAATCTGAACACAGGCACAAAACAGCATATCCAGTCACCAGAGATAACAGGATAGCACAGACTCTTGCTGCTCCCCTCCTCTGACATCCACTGTCCTCTCTCAGTTACAAAGATTCTAACATGTGCAGTAGGTAAGCAACACGGTTTGATGGCAATATTCACAAATAAGAGCCACATTACTAAAAGTATTACCAAAAGCATCTGTCCCCAAATTAAATATAAGCCAAATGTGACCTAAACTACTTCCAAAGTTGAAAGTTCAAATGACTCAAAAAAGTACATATTATAAAAAAATCCAACCAAGAGCCCAATTACATTTTAAAATACGTAATTTTGTTAAAATGGAAATTTCAGCAAATCGTTTAAGAATATTTGAGTCTAATATTTCAGTCTAACTCTCTATATACTCGGTGCTAAGTCATTCTAAAGCCCACAGAAATAACAAATTTGAAAAAAAAAAATCTTTTTTTTTTTTTGGTCTTTTTGAGACAAGGTCTTCTATAGCCCCATCTGGCCTGGAACTCACTTGGCAGAATCAAACTTTTGATCTCAAAGGTATCAACTATCTAATATGGGGGAAATGGAAGTTAGTGGGGCAAGAAGAGGAAATAAACAAATAAATGAAAAATATGGACTCCAGAGGGTACATGCCTTTAATCCCAGCACTCAGGAGGATCTCTGAGTCTGAGGCTAGCCTGGTCTACATAATAAGTTCCAGGCAAACCAGGGTTATATAGTAAGACCCTATCTCAAAAGAGGAGGAAGAGGAGGGGAGGGGGAGGAGAACTTCATGACAATAATTTTTGTAATTCAGAGATGACTATATTTGTTAATGAAGCATAAAAGAGTAAAAAAGAAACAAATAAATATAAGCATTTTTTTCCTTTCATTATAAATTTAATTCATATTCGTGGTAACACAAGTCTTTTTTTCCAGTCAGGTTCTAGACAATTAGGCTACAGCTAAACCTTCCTGAGATGGAAATAGATCCACTTGTCTGAGCCACAATCCCATCTTTGGGCTGAGCTACCCCTGAAGGAACTTGGTACTGCTTGGTTTAGGATTAAGGTAACTGATGAGGGCTGGAGACATGGCTCAGCAGTTAAGAGCACTTGTTGCTCTTGCAGAAGATCAAGGTTCAGTTTCCAGGACCCATATGGTGGCTCACAAAAATCTGTAACTCCAGTTCCAGAGAATTCACTGTCCTCTTCTGGCCTCCATGGGCATCAGGCAAGCACATGGTATATATACACACATGCAGGCAAAAACACTTAGACACATAAAGTGAAAATAAATAAATTTTAAATTCTTAAAGAGAACTGAACAGCACTTAGTGACAGAAAATGAAGCTCTATTATTATTTTTCCATTCTACTCAATAGCAAGGAACTTTCTTTTTAAAATTCAGCTACTCCTACTGACAGTTAATGGTAACACTTACCTGTAAAATGTGAAGGATGGTTTTACAGAAAGAAGTACAAAGGGCACAACTGTGTAACTTATTGTGATTTGTGTTGCCACCCAAGTTATAACATCATAACATAATTTCAGTTGAGGAGGGTTAATGAAATGATGTCTAAAGTTACTTCTCATCTGAAATAAAGAAACAAAAAAGAAACCATTTGCTACATCTTAAATTAATATTAATTATAAAATTACACTGTGATAGCAGCTAGTTTCAAGCCTGTGGAATAGTCTTGAGACACTCTCATATTCTGACTGAGTCTGAACTGACACTGTCACCACAGGGAGCTGCTTCCAACAACAGTAATACATGTTGGGGGTGAACTGTGAAGAGGACCTCAAAGAGCTCTCTGCAACCTTTCTGTAGATTTGAAGTTGTATTGCAATGAAGTTTCCCCAAAGAGTCAAGTTAGCAATGTCTACTGCCTACAGCTCCTCAAATGGCACTTGGTAAATAGATTATAGAATGTACATGCATTCAGAGTGTCTCCTCTCACTAGGGAATGAGACAGCTGTACTCCTGCCCAACCTGTGAAGGCCTAGCAGATCCAACACTCAACTCTGATCAAAGAGTACACATCAAAACAGACAAGGAACTCACCTCACTGGCTGATGAAAGCTGGAAAGAGCCTTTCAAAAAGGGCACTGTTTTTTGTGGGGTTGGAGATGGAACCCAGGAACTTGTGCATGCTAGGAAAGTATACTAAGCTACATCCCCAACATTTTATAAACTTTCAAAAGAGTCAAAACATTTAAGTTTCAACATGAACTTAACCATACATGATTCTCTTTTCCCATCACAGGACTCAATTTTCTTGTCTAATGCTTTCACAGATGAAACATGACCTTGTTACAAATATGCCACATGGTTTCTTCAGGTGAAGTAGTGAATAACTAATGACTTCAAACACAAACCATCATCCTTAGTGGCCAGAACCAAATCCTGGTGCCTAGGACTCTTGGCTGGCTCACTAACACATTCTGTCCAATAACGATGAGCCGATTTCCTCCAGTATGGCTTTGCGGTATTCTACACATATTTAAAATTCTTAGCTGGCTGGAGATGTAGCTCAGGGCTAGAGTGCTTACCTAGCATGTACAAGGCCCTGGGTACACTCCTCAGCACCACAAGAAAACAAAATTAACATCCTCTGCCCACCTTCCCTGGTGCTACACAAGGATCAGGCTTTTGAGCTTTTTATGTTCAAGCTCTTCATCGTCACCTGTGTTGTTTCCTCCATTTGCCTATTCAGAATTATCCACTGTTTACATATACTGAAATTCTCTGCTTCAACTAGATTTACCTGTCATTTCCCCAATACACCATGGCTTTCCTTTTATTCCCCTAACATCACTCCATGCCTAGAATATCATCTTCTCCCTTACCACACTCCAGTTAATATTGAAATAGCTTCCACCTTTCAGAGCACAGATCCACATTCTTTCCTAAAGAGTTCTCTCTAATTTACCCAGCCAAAAGGCCCCTTTCCTCTCTGACTCATGATACTTGCTATCTGTAAAGTCCATGCATCTATCAATCACACCCTGAGATGCTGGAGCACACACATGTAGGATACACATTAACACATTTGTGTTTATACCTTTGATTAGACTACCAACTACCTAAACACACAGCCCTAAGTTGCTACTTCTTGCTGTTTCCCATGTCATACACGCCCAAGGTATCTTAAAACAAGTATCTATTAGCTTGCTGAACAAATCTCTTTTCCCTATAAGCACTACAATAAGCTTGTCAAAACACCATCTTTGGGAGTCTTTTAGATAGACCCACTGAAGGGGTACTCCAATTGCCTCACCCTGCGTCCCTGTTCAGCATGGAAGAAGCGAGAACGGTCTTCATCCCCATTCCCTATCTGCAAGTTGGGTAACTCCTTCAGAGGATGGTGTGATAAGAATAGGAGGCAGGAATTGGCTAGGCAGTTAGAATAAAAAGACCCCAAAGAAAAGTAGACAATTTCTTGGCTAAAAGTCAAAATGTCCTTGGACCTCTTAGCAACATACTCCATTCCAAAGGCCAAAAATGTTAAAAGTATTTGGGAGCTTTTATCTAATCCTTAAAAAATTTTAGGGTTACCTCTTCAGAGGGGGGAATGTTAGAGTAACAAAAAGGCCATTAAAAAAAAAGAAGAAAATGAGTACATGAAGTTATCAGAAAAAAGTGATGGGGAGATATGGGAGGAATTGAAGGGGAGGGAGTGGGCATGGATTTGATCAAAACACCTTATATGCATGTATGAAATTCTCAATAATTATTTAAAATTATATTAATAATAAATTTGGCTATTTAAATTAAACATAAAGAGAATCAAATAATATACGTCAACTCTGAAGTTTCAAGAAATAAACCTATGTAAAAGGGGGTAGATTATATCTCTAGTAGAGCTGTATCTACTTTAATCATTAAACATCTACAGATTAAGAAAAAAATTTGCCTAGATGAAGATAGAATATTCTACTAAAAACAATTATTCTAATGTCCTGAATCTAGAAGTTTAATCCAGTAATTTAAAGTATGTTTTAAAACTTCTGTCAGAGCATGGAATAGTGAGTTAGGCACTTAATCCTAGTACTCTGGAGACTGAAGCAGGCAGATCTCTGTGAGTTAGAGGCCACAGTGACCAGCCTGGGCTACAAAGAGAGTTCAAGGCAAGCCAGGGTACATAGTGAGACCCTTAATAAACAAAGTAAGTTCTGTCAAAATCATGAGAATGCAATTTCAAAGAAACACTGTAGGTAATTTTGAAATATTATTTAAAAGTATTAAAGTAATTTTCAAAAATAGAAAAAAAAAGTACCAGACTGGTGGAACTAACCTTCTTGGATGTTTAACAGCCATACTTTGAGGTCTATACTAATCTGGTCAGAGGGACTTAAAGGACAGTTTTTGCTTCTTGCCCTCCAAGGTTGACTAAGTTCTAGGGGACTATGGGGCATCTCTCAAAATGTCCTGTAACTATGGTGAGTCACCTGTCCTCTTGATCAAGGAGAACGTGAAGACCCCACTAGATAGGTCTGAACCAGTGTACAGTCTACAAAGAGGAGGGTCAACACAGAGGAAATATTTCCTTCATGCTTCCAACTGAAGCCAGCCATGGTCAAGAAGGACCTTTGACTTATCTTCACATAGATGGAACTGGTAAAAGAAAGGAGCCAGGGACTCCTCCCAAGCCCATGTGACCCCTAAGGAACAGATCCTCAGATGGGAGTAAAAACAAATCAGTTTATCTGGTCCAATTGTATGTCCTTAAACACCCAAAAGGGAAGTATAACCAAAGATTAAAGGGGCCAACATAATATCATAAGAGCATACATATACATAACTAAAAGTTACTCGACAAACAACAAAGCCAGACAGGCGATACCTTCAGTCGAGTTGTTGGCTAGGATAAAGAAACTCCCAGATAGTAACCCAGCATAGAACTGGGAGAACTGGGAAAATGAACAGCAGACCCCAATCTTATCTAAAGGAATGTTGGCAACTGATTGCTGCTACATGAGGAAGAGCTAAACAAGGAACTCTAGTCAGGCTGACTAGACTCAGCAGATGGACTAGCAGTGGGTAACGGCTGGAGGCACTGATAACACAATGGACAGTAACAGGGATAACAGAGTATATAGACTCCATTGGGGGGCGCTATGGGAGGATGCCATTTGGGAGGCAGGTATAAAGATGAAAAAGACTGTTTAGGGTGTTCTGTATGAAATATATACACAAAAAAATCAATAAATTTTAAAAATTGAAACAAAACAAAACAAAACCACCATCTTTGCCATGTTACTTTCCTCTAGGTGACTTTCAAACACATATACTAATTTATCCTTCTTTTCTCTCCCATGTTATCAAGCTGTCTCAATTGTTTCCCCAAAATACCATTCCAGGTTCCCGATTTCCACAAAGCAAGTGTACTACGGAACTGTACTGGATCCAGTATAGCATCTCCTACTGGAAATGGCCCATCTATTTCTCTAGGACTAGCCACACTTCTTTCTCTCGCCACCACCCCGCCTCAGTCTTTTTGAGACAGGGTCTTCCTGTACCCACAGCTGACCTGGAACTTACTATGTAGACCAGACTGACCTTGATCTCAGAGGTCTCCCAAGTGCTGGGATTAAAAGTGTGTGCCACTACACCCAGTTCACACTCAGCTCTTTATCTAAGACTAAAGGATTATAGTTTTCAGGAAACATTTCCAAAACTAACCTACTCATTCTGATCATTTTTATCTAATTGTTTTTCTTTCTCCTTCAGAAAATGCTGTGAAGACAATAGGTTGTTCTAGGTGCTGGCAAGCATGTCTCCTGGTAGGTAGTGAGCACAGAGGCTGGCACATGGTAAGCACTAATGACAAGTACCTAAACTTCTACTGGTCAGGATGATGCTAATCATAGCCAAAGAAATCGATAGGTTCACTCACTGAATAATAAAACAGTCTTTGATACTTACAGCTCGTGCTGCTAAAGTCATTAACACCCCTGTTAGAAACGTCAGGTAATATCCTGGGTACACCCCATGCCAAATGGCAGAGAGAAAGAATGTCTGGATTGTTGGACTGAAGGACGCTCGTTCATAACACACCCTAGAAACCATGAAAAACACAGAGAGCCAAGAGGAGTGAATGGATCTAAGTTCACAAGCTCCACCAGATCCTCCTTCTCTGACCTGACAGGGTTAGGGGAACCAGGAAAGCTAATGCCATTTCTCTTAGGAACTAGCTTAGTCTACAACCTTGGGGGAAGTCACAGTCATTAACTGTCAAATTAGGAGCATAGACTTCATTCTTCTTACTGGTGTACAGAATTGCTAAAACAATTACATCTAGTATTGGGAGTCCATACAACTTATGAAAATGCATAAATTTTATTTAATATTAAAGTTAGGATTTTGTTTTACTGTTAAACCTCTGAAAACACAAGAACTTTCAAAAGACTTCACATGATTCTTTCTGGAAAATGGCTTGTGCTTGTTTAGTTTTCCAATAGCAGGGACAGGACTCAGTAAGATTTTACTTATCTAAAGCCACTGGAAAGACTGGCTAGGATCATGCAACAACAGGATACGTTGTGTGTCTCAAGGAGTGGATTTAATTGCCATTGTGTTCTAAGAGTCCCATTCCTAGCCCCATCTGGCTTGGGTGCTTCTCTGCCTGAGGCACCTGTCCCATGTTGCCATTTCCCCCAGCTGAGACACACTGTAGGTCAGATTCTTCTGAGATGTTCCTCAGTTCCTGGTGGGCCCTTGCTCCTCCCTGCTCTCTCTCAGAATCTCCACTCTAGGGAATAGCATGTGTCTGACCACACAGCTGCTTGTTTTAGATTTATTATTTTTATTTTATGGGTATGATGTTTGCTTGCAGGTATGGATGTGTACTACGTATGTGCACCATGTATATGACCAGACATGCCAGAAAGAGTGTCAGAGCCCCTGGAACTGGAGTTATAGGTGGTTGTTAGCTGCCATATAGATGCTAGGAATGGAGCCCAGGACCTCTGCAAGACAGTTAGTGCTATTAACTACTGAGATATCTCTTTAGCCCCACAGTTATGTTTTTAATGAGATTGGGAACTCTGACTATGGGGCAGGGACTACGACTCTTGGTATTATATATCTTTGTATCCTGTGTCTAAAGTTTAAAGAGCTGCTGAATCAAAATACTGGAACTGTTTCAGAAATCCAGGGCTTACCCAGAGGTTTTTGTTTTGTTTCGGGGGTGTGTGTGTGTGTGTGTGTGTGTGTGTGTGTGTGTGTGTGTGTTTAACGCCAAACCTCCAACACACAATAACAGGAGCTACAGAGAACACTGGTGACCCCCAGAGCAGACCAGAGTCTGAATCAGGCTGAGGGGACACGAGGATAGGGACACTTGTGATTTAAGTCTGAACAGTTCTGATTTGATAGTACCTTGCTGTGGTAGATGCTAATGCCATTTCCCGGGTAACACCAAGACCACATATCACTCAACACAATGGTAGTTTAATTAAGAATCTGAGGTCAGTGAGGCTCAACCTCAAGTATCTGATGCCAAAGCATCTAATGGTTGTTCTTGAAGGAACGTACCTTTTGAGCCAAAGAGCTGTCTGGATATTCCAATTATCAAGAAACATCTTAAAACTTGTTGACATCTGAAAAAAAAAAAGGAATCTTTTTCTTTGGTCAACAAAATAATGAAGCTTTAAATACAAGTTATGATGACTTAGTGTGATAAGAAGTTAAAACTAAAATTTACTTCATGATGGTACAGCACTGGTACCTTTCCTCAATAATGTTTTTCTAATACAGCAACACACTACATGAAAGTTTTTCTGCTATTGGGATGATCTATGAGGGAAAGAGAGTATAGCTACTATCTCCTGTATGCCAACATGTACAAAGGAAGTCCTCATAGAGCACATAACACCCTTGAAAATATCTGTCCCTTCTGTGCCATGGGCCAGTGCACGTACCTCAACTTCTTCTCCCACATTCTGCCATGCTTCTGGGTGAAGGACGGCCACAGTCACCACCTACCCAATACTGCTATTCTGAGTCCCCTGGTTCCACACTGCCTCTGGGGGGTAATGGGCTTTGCATTTCCCAGAGCATAGCTGCCTTTCTGGGCAGCTTCTGTGGCCAAGCTACTCATTAAATTTAGCTCTTTACTGGGGGTGGGGGTGGGGAGAACAACCTCTGGGCTGCAGTCTGTCTACTTTCATCTTATGTAATTGTCTCCTCGTCTCCTTCTTCCTTTCTTCTTCTCTTTCTCCTTTCAGTTATGGTGGTGCTGGGGTCAAACCACAGGCCCCACATGCTAAGCACATGCTCCATCATTTAGCTATGCCAGCAACTCCTTTTGAATATTTTGGATTCCAAAGTCCACTTATCATACCAAAATTCTTGATGCCTTTTTAAATTGTTTCAACCCACCTACCCACCAAAACCCTAATCTCTGATTGGCATACTGTCCACTTCCCCACTGGTGGCACTTGCACACTGAGTGTGACATTCCAGGCCTCTCATGTATTCATGGTTTTCCTCAATCTATCACTTGTCCTCATCTTGAAAATCAAATACTCAAGTGTTCCCCTAAATCCCTCAGAGCAGGTGACCAAGCTTCTCCCCAGAGACCTCCCTCTCCCTAAAACAGAACTCAGTGCACTCCATAGCCTTACCATCAGACCTCATGCTCCATAGCACATCTGCTCCCCTCTATCTCAGTAGTGCCTTTCTCCAGGGCTACTCTGGTCACCTCTCTTCTATCTCATGCATCTCCCTCCTACCTGCAGAGGGACCACATATATCCACAAGTCTCTCCTTCCACTGTGCTACACTCTCCCTCTTCAATCCCTCTTACTCAGTAACTATATTTTAACCTTTCCATTTTTAAAATTATATGCATATGTCTCTGTATGGTATATGTAGGTGCCCATGGAGGCAAGAAGAGAGCATTGGATCCCCTGGAGATGGAGTTGCAAGTGACTGTGAGCCACCTGACATGGGTGCTGGAAACTAACTCAGATACTCTCCAAAAGCAGTAAGTGCTCTTAACTGCTAAGCCATCTCTCCATCCCCTTAATCTTTCCATTTCAAGACCAAATGAAAACAAAAGTCTCCTCAGCCCCTCTAGTTATAGCCCTTCAAAGCTATGGCTCTTTAGAGCTGTATCACCTGCCAGTTGTGCTCCCCCTCCTTACAAAATCATTAACGAAACAGTAACTGATGGGGACATGCCTGAGTTCTCATCTCACTTAAGGTCTGGGGGCATTGAGCAGTGGTCACTGTGCTCTCCTTCTCTGTCCTTCATTCAAGCATTCATGAGGATAACAAGGCTCTCAAACTATGGAAGAATCCTCCTTTTATGTATAAGGCATAAATACATATAGGTACAACAGAAAGTTTCTCCAGGGGTCACTGAAAGGCTCATTAGAATGGTGGTAGAGATACAGGTTGGGGCTGAAGATATGGCTTAATGGTTAAGAGCAATTGCTGCTCTTGCAGCAGACCCATGTTCAGTTCCCAGCACCCATATAGTAGCTCACAATCACCTGTAACTCCTGTCCCAGGGAATCTGACACTTATTCTGGCCTCCATGGACACCAGGCATATAGGTGGTATAAATACATACTTGCATGCAAAACACTCATACACATAAAATAAAAATAAATAAATCTACTCAGGCGTGGTGGTGTATGCCTTTAATTCCGGCATTCGGGAGGCAGAGGCAGGTAGATCTCTATGAGTTCCAGGTCAGCCTAGTCTACATAACAAGTTTTAGGCCAGCCAAGGCCCTGTCTCAAAACAAAACAAAACAAATAAGTGGTGGCGCACGCTTTTAATCCCAGTACTTAGGAGGCAGAGGCAGGTGGATGTCTGTGAGTTCAAGGCCAACCTGGTCCACATAGTGAGTTCCAGGACAGCTGGGGCTACATGGAGACCCTGTTTCAAAAAGACCAAAAAAAAAAAAAAAGAAAGAAAAGAAAGAAAGAAAGAAAGAAATTAAAGGGAGATAAAGGTCATAAATACCAACACACATTCATCACCTTACTCCAACAACTACCCATTTTCCTTCCCCTTTCCCATTTTTGTTTGAAAGAAAATACCAGGTATTTTATATCAGCTATAGATAGGCCAGAATTTATGTTCAATAAGTAAGGATAATTTTTCCTTAAAAAAAAAAAATCATGGTCAGACCTACTTATTCTTTTTCTGGTGTTCTGGAAATTAAAGCCAGGGTGTCCTGCATACCAGGCAAGCACCACTGAGTCATAGCCCATATGGTTCATATGTTTTTAAACTACATTTTGAGGCAGGGTATTACTAAGTTGCCCAGGCTGGTCTGAAACTTGCTATGAAACCCAGGTTGACCTTGGACTTGTGATCTTTCTCACTCAGTCTCCCAACTGGCTGGAATTATAGGCATTTGCCCCTATACCTAGCTCAGATTTAATAATATCATTAACTCCCTCCCTCCATTCCTTCCTTCTGAGATGGTGTCTTGTTATGTTGCCTAGGCTGGCCTCAAACTCCTGCACTCAAGTAATCCAGATATAGTATCCTAAGCAGGTAGAGATAACAGGTATGTGCTACCATGCTTGGCTTAATAATCACTATTTTCTTTTGCTGTGTTTGAGACATGGTCTCCCTGTAGCCTCATCTGGCCTGGAACTTGCTATGTAGTCCAAGCTGGCCTTAATCTTACAGTCTGCCTCTGCCTCCACAGCACTGGGATTAAAGGTGTGTGGCACCATGCCTGGTAATAATAACTTCTTAACATAATCTAATACCCACTTTGTATACAAATATCATTAAATTTTTTATTTAAAAATGTATCTTTCTAGTTGGTTTGCTCAATCAGGAGTCAAAAAAGGTGTATCCAGTTCATGTGGCCACAATCTGTAACAACCCATCCCACCTGCTGTATTATTCATCGCACTCATTTTTCAGAAACACTTGGAACAGACGTCCTGGAGAATTTTCCACTTCTGGACCTGATGGTTAACTTCTCTCTATTCGGTATTCTCTCTAAATTTAGAAGAACCTAGAGACCCAGTTTGGGTAATTCTCTTGGCAACAACCACATGTAGGTGCATCCCCTCACAGGTACCTCGTGCATGCTAATCCACCTCTGCTGAGGCTCAGCAGTGGGCATGGCTGGGCTCCTGGGAACCTTCGACCTGAGCTTTGTGTCATTTCTCCCTGCTCCTTGGGCACCTACATCTCTTCTCATCATGGCCACTCAAATTTCCCCTAGGGCTGGAACTGCTCCATGCTGAAAATTCCCAAATTATTATCTTGAGCTCAAATGTCTGCCAAGCATCTGCATTCATTTGCCTACTGGACACCTCAGTGAGAAGAATCACCATAAGCCCATCTGTTTAAATGAGACTTGGTTCTGTGTTCTGGTTCTGGTGTATCACCAAGTTCTCTCAGAGTCTTTCATCAGCTCACCAACATGCCTACATCATTCTAGCCCTCCTTGGCAGCACCCCATTTTAGGTCACCATCATTGTGGATTAACATGACACCCTCCTAACAGACCTTCCTGCCTCTTGAGGACAACCCATTCTACTTGCCAGGCCCTTCTAAAACACATCCATGAGGCTAGGGGTGGTGGCACACACTTTTGAGCCTGTTACTTGGAAAGCTGAGGCAGGAAAATCACAAGTTTGAGGCAAATCTGGTCTACATAGTGAAACTCTATCTCAGAAAAACAAAATAAGCTGGGCATGGTGGTGGTATACACCTTTGAAAATTCTAGCACTTGAGGGGCAGAGGCAGGTGAATCTCTGAGTTCCAGGCCAACCTGATCTACATATTAAGTTCTAGGCCAGCTAAGGCTTCATAGTGACTCAATGGAGGGAAAGAGGGAGGGAGGGAGGGGGGACGGAGGGAAGGAGGGAAAAACAAAATGAAAAACCAAAATTTCTGATTAGCTCACTGGTCTGCATGTATAACCCAACTACAGTACACTACCACTTCCAGAAGGAAGTTCAAGGCCCTCAACAAAGCTTCTAAGGCTGTGTTTTGCTTAGTCGCAGCTCTAGCCTCACCTTCAGCATCTTCATGCTGCCACCCATGCAAGTTGCCTGCCCTTTTTCACCGCTGCTCTTCCTACAGAGAGGGCCTGGCCATCTCCTACTTCAGACAGCTGTAAGATCCCCTTTCTCAATTGCCTATGTAAAATAGACTCCGGTTTTATGAATACCATGTGCCTGCACCTTCCAGGTCAGATCCTACTTTCCAGCACTTTCTTCTTTAATAAAAAAAAATTTTTTTTTGTCTTTTTTAGACAGGGTCTCCCTGTAGCCCCAGCTGGTCTGGAACGCACTATGTAGACCAGATTGGCTTTGAATTCACAGAGATCTGCCTGCTTCTACCTCCCAAGTGCTGGAATTAAAGACATGTACCACCATGCCTGGTTCTTCTTTAAAAAATTTTTTTAAATTTGTTTTGATTTTATGTGTATGTTTTGCCTGCATGCATGTAAGTGCAACATGTTCATACAATGCCCATGAAGGACAGACAGAAAAGGGTGTCTAATTCCCTTGGAACTGGAGTTAGGGATAGTTATTAGCTGCCATGTGGGTACTGGGAACCAAACCTGGGTCCTCTGCAAGAGCAGTCAGTGCTCTTAACCACTGAGCCATCTCTCCAGCCCCTCCAGCACTTTCTAAATCTTCCTGAGGACCCCACTGGCACGACTCACTGCCCCCTCAGGGCTTGGGCGTGTTGGACAATGAGTAAGTACTAGAGGAAAGAATTCTGAGAGTATTACTATAATTAAACCTTTCAGCACCACTCTCAGCACCACATCATAACCTATGAACACAAACTATGGCAATTTAAACTGTCACATGAGAACTAAGTTCTTAATTATTTACTAACCTCTATTTTCTGAATTTGTAAATTGGAAATTAAGTCCCAACGAGCCACTCCATTTCTGTCATATCCTCTGAAACCGAAGCCTGCAGCATTGTTAATAGCATCAGCTGTAGCACAAAAAAAAGATATTCAAAACTTTATAGCAATCTACTATGTATTATTTGTTTGTGTGTTTGTTTTGAAACAGACTCTCTCCCTGTAGCCCCAGCTGGTCTGGAATTGGCTATGCAGACCAGGCTCACCTCAATCTCACAAAGATCTGCCTGACTCTACCTCCAGAGTGATGGGATTAAAAGTGTGTGCCACCATACCTGGCTACTATGTATTTTTTGAAGACTTTTTGGGGGGACATGCAGCTCCTGCGGAGGACTCAGGTTTGGTTCCCAACACACAAGTCAGCTCATAATTGCATATAACTCCAGTTCCAGAGGATCCGATGCCCTCTTCTGTCTTCTGCAGGCAAATACTCATACTTATTTTTTTAATTTTTATTCTATGAGTGCTTTGCTTGCATATACGTTATATGCAACACATGCATGCTTGGTGCCTGGAGAAGGCATCAGATCCCCTAGAACTGGAGTTATAGATGGTTGTAAGTTTCTATGTAAGTACTGGGAACCAAACTGGGGCACTCCACAAGAGCAGTAAGTACTCTTAATCACTGAGCGTTTCTCTACTCCCTTAACCTGCTGTATTTTCCCAGAAGGTATATACTATTATATATAATGTCCTTTACTCTTAAACAGGAAAAGATTTATTGATTTAATTCATGGTGCTGGTATTGAAACCTTGGCTTTGTAGATACTAGGTAAGCACCTTCCTGATGGCTTACATCCTCAGTCCATGACTTATTCTAATTTTTTAAATGTGTGTATCATGCTTGCATGTATGTCAGTGCAGCGATGTCATGCAATGCACATGGAGGCCAGAAGAGGGTGTCAGATCCCCTGAAATTGGAGTTAAAGAGGGTTGTTAGCTGCCATGTGGGTACTGAGACACGAACCCAGGTCTTCTGCAAGAGCAGCCAGGACTTTTAACCACCAAGCCATCTCTCTAGCCCTTATTCTAATTTTTTTAATGTGTGTGCGTGCGTGCGTGCGTGTGTGTGTGTATGTGTGTGTGTGTATGAGTGTATGTGTGCATGGGTATCTGCAGAGGTCAGAAGAAGGTGTTAGATTCCCTGGATCTGGAATTACAGGTGGTTCTAAGCTGTCCAATATGAGTACTGGGAATCGAACTTGGGTCCTCTGGATGAGCAGCAAGTGCTCTTAACCCCTGAGCCACCTCTCCAGCCCCCATTTATTCTAATTTTTAAGAGAGGTTAGAAACATTATCACGTCCAGTGAAAATAACTGCCCTATTAAAAGACAATAGGCAAGTCAACAAAATATCATACATTAAGCATGAGTGGAAGACAGGTGGAGTTCTACAGTTCTGGGACACAACACTGGACTAGAGTGGAGAGTGTTCGGCCATCCTGAAGAAACCACTAGGGGATGGTGTCTGCCGTGGGGTGATAGGTGCTAGGATCACTGTCTTCTTTTTAGTCCATTTGGCCTTTCTTATACATAAGAACATGTAAGTGGGGTATAATGTTTTAGTTTCTTTCTTTTTTGGTTCACTAGAACCCACTCTACTTCCGTCTCTTGAGTTTTCTTCAAATCCCCTCACCACGGTGTTTGATTAGTCCCCTTTGCTTACATAACTGCTTATGTAGCAAATGACATTTCTGCCTCAAATAAGTGCTTTTCCAACCAACTGGAAAAACGTTTATAATTCATACCCTTTGTGCTATGAACAAAGGATATGTTGAAACCGATCAAAATGCAGCAAAGTAGTATGCCTACAAAGACATATATCCTGTCCTTGAATTGTTTATTCTTTATCACCTTTTTTTTTTTGTCTTTTTGAGACAGGGTCTCCCTATAGCCCCAGCTGGCCTGGAATTCACTATGTAGACCTGTAGACCAGGTTGGCCTTGAAATCACAGAGATCTGCTTGCCCAGTACTGGGATTAAAGGTATGTACCACCACACCTGGCTTCCTTATTACTTTTTTAGTACATTAAACAAAAATTACACCTTGGGGCAATATAAGCAAGATTTTCCCTTCTATCAGGTTTAAGGACAGCAGCAGCCTTGGGTATAAGAAAGTCCCAAAGGACTAAAAGGAACACAGTGATCCCAGGACATAGCATCCCAGGGCAGAGCATCCCCTAGTGGTTCCTTCCAGATGGCTAAGCACTCTCCACTGTATTCCAATGTTGTATCTCAGAACTCATAAATACCTATGAGTCTTTAAGGTAAGCCTATTGATATAGCAATATACATGCTTACGAGAATTAAAAATAAAACCTACTAATAAAATGGCAAAATCTCCACCCCAGCCACACAAATGACTGTTGAATAGCCCCCAGTCAAACTCATGTGTTCAGAATTCTCATATTCCTGTAGTCTACTAATTTAACAAATCTAACAGTTCATATTAAAAATATTTTTTATTTGTTTGTTTTTCTGGGGGAGCACACACATTACACACATGTGCAGAGGTCAGAGGAAAACCTGTGGGAGTCAGTTCTTTCCTTCTATCATGTGGGTCCTGAAGCTCAAACTCAGGTTGTCAGGCTAGGTGATAAGTGCCTTTATCCATTGAACTATCTCACAAACCCTGGCATTTTAAAAATAAAACTGATATAAAGTCAGTTTGGGAATAGCACAGTCTCATCTTAAAGTCGGCACTTATTCAGGGATACAGGGATCTTCAGAAATCTCACTTGGTATCATTAATGCTTAAATTTGGCTAGAATGAAAAAATTTTATTCTTAAAGAAATATTAGTTGACATCTAAACAAGGCCAGGTATGGTAGAATATGCATCTAGTGCTAGCATTCCAGAGCCTGAGGAAGGAGGATCTTCTGAAGTCTGAGCTTAGCCTGTACTGCACAGCAAGCCCTACTCTTAAAACACAAATTCTCACACAGTAACACTGTATTTTAATTGGTCATTAAAGTACCAGGCTAAAATAACTTTCAATGATGCTATTGTAAATAAAAAACAAAAATTTGAATCCTACTCCCAAATTATATTTAATTGCAATAAAATAAAGAGAGCAGCAGAATGCCAGACTTCAGACCCTGTCTTTGGCCTTGCTGTACTGCATTCTTGGTATAGTCATTCAAATGTTCACTGAGTATCAAATATAAGGCGAACAGGACAAAATCTTAAGAATGAAGAGCTTATGTTCTAGTGGGAAGGGCAAATGATACACATAAAAGTGGCTTCAATCTACTTCAGCTCATCCTGCAGTGTTACCAGGTCATTGCTGCACTCAAGAAGAGTCATCTGGTGGTAAGCTGTCAAAATGCTAAAAGGAGTGTAAATGAGGTTGCTGACTAGCCAGTTACCACCCATCAGCCCACCTGAAGCCCACCTGAAGCCCCCGAAGTTTGTGAGGCAGTATAGGTGAGGGTTTGTGAAAGGCTCATCTCTCCTTCCTATGTGCATCTTTCCAAAAGAGTCACCGTTAGCCTGTCACCGAAGGCCAGGCACTTCCACATCTCTTTGCTCATGAATGTCAAAGTAGTCGCTTTCCACAGCCAAAATCATTTGATCTTAAAGGTACAACTGAATGCTCTTTTTCCTCTAATACTTGTTCCACCTGGCAGGTATCATTGGCCCCACTGTCTATGCATTGATATGATATTTGTGGCTTTGTTGATAAAATAATCATAATGTACCACATCTCATAGTCTACTTAATGGGTATCATAATGGCAAGCATAACACACTCATACTAAATCAGGGGCATGCTGAAGATAGGGACTTGTCATACATGTTAGTATCCACTTGAGCAAGCACAGAATCTGCCATGCATTATTAGATAAGCTATCTGTAGTTATTTCAACTATTCATTGATTTTGATCTTATAATGAACTCTGGGGTTTAATTCTACATAGATGACCCTAATTTTTGTACCTGATCTTTAACTATATAGCCTCAAGAGGGCACTCTTGAGCTGGGCATGGTGGCATGCCTACAGGTCTAACAACAATAAGGCCTAGGCAGAGGGATAATTTGAGCTCAGAATTGACGGCCAACTGAGGCAACAATACATATGAGAAAAAAAAAAAAAAAAAACCCAAAAAGAGAGGACACTGCCCTCCTATCTACAAGACAAGACAAGATACATTTCAGCACAGAAACGGAAGTCTATATTCTACTTACCTAAGGTCCACGCAAAGTAGTATTTAGGTCTGGCAGCCAAAAGAGAGATATACAGATAGGTAGCTTTGGTTGGCCACGAAGCAGTGGCTTGGAAATGCTCATCAATGTTGTATTCCACGGGCAACAGGTTGGAGATGGTCAAATGAAATAATAAGGAGAGTCCACAGACCAAGAGCTTCTCAGCAACTGCTGCCTGAAAAGGGTATGACAGGAGTCACAAACTTCACTTGTACTCCATTAGCACTTTACACATTATCACAAGACAAACCACCCTGAATGTAGCAACAAACTGCAGTATTCAAAGTCAAAAATCAGGAGCCACCTTGCACTCAATACTTCAGGTCCTCAGTTCCTATACAACATCAACTATACAATTTCATCTAAAGTCCCAATGTGTGTTTTCAGAACTTTTAGGAAACATAGCATTTGAAAGGCAAGCACGAGAGTGGATAGAAAACAAACACAGAAAATATTAACATTAGTGTCTTTTGGTAGTGGATCTTATCTGAAGGCTACAATTATATTGGTGTCAGGCACTGGGAATCCTGAATTTCTGGATTCATCTCTCCGCTGAAGATCCCTGGGAGTGCTACAAGGATGCAGGCCACCTGAGGTACAGAGCAGGTGCACTGTGGGGAGAGATGGGGAGAGTCAGGAACCCTGGGAAGTCCACGTCTAATCTGATTCCCCAGTTTTGTTCTCTTTAAAATTGTATGTGCATGACTTACTCATGTATACATGTGCATATATTCATTTTATTGCACTTTTCCTATATTTTTCAAATTTGAGGCATTTCATAGACATTACTTTTGCAATAAAACAATTCACATATTGCTTTAACTCTACAACTTATTTAGTTCAACTTTGTTCAAGAATCATAACACTGAAAGAACTACACAAGCGAGAAAACTAAAGTTTACATAAAAGACTAATGGAAAGAAGAAGCTATGCTTTGTAATATTGTGGGAAGAATAAATTACCAATTCATGGTGTCAGCGTCATGTGTGTGTGTGTGTGTGTGTGTGTCTATGTACGTGCACATGTGTGTTGTTGCTGTTTGAGATATGGTCTCACTATGTAGCCCAGATAGAGGCCTGATCCTCATCTGCTAGGATTGCAGGTGTACACCACCATGCCTACTATAGCTTGTGTTTTTCAACTCAGTGTTTTTTTTTTGTATTTTTTGGTCAGAATATGTGAACTTTATTCAGTATAAAAGAGATTATACAGACCATGAGGGGAAAGACACAAGAAGTAAAAAGGCTGAATCCAGATAAGGAAATAAAACAAAATACCTGGGTTTAGAGTGTCGTATTCCAAATAATATTCAAATTAACTAATTTATAAAGGAGCATTCCTATTCTCTCCAATAAAATAAAACTACACTTTGCTTTACCCCACCAAATATCTTACACATTTAAATAGATTTTTTAAGTAATTAGAGAAAATTATAACTATAAATGCAGTGAAATGAAATGGATGCCCCCTTGTATCAAACTACAAATGAAGAGCATCACTGTCTTTCTCTTTAATAAATCTGTGAATATAAATTCTCATAAAGGTATTAAGAAATGCAGCCATTAGACTATATGTGAAGTTTCTAAGTCTCAGTTAAAACAAACATACAAAAACTGTTCTAGTTCCAAAAGGCAAACACACACCCATGTTCAGCCTTAATTATTAATTTAACACAATCTAGAATCACCTGGTAAGGGAATCTCAGTGAAAATTGTTGACATCAGGCTGGCCTATGGACATATCTGTAGGGGACTGTCTTGATTACCTTAAATGAGGTGGGAAGGCCTGCCTACTGTGGGTGGCACCACTTCCTGGGCAGGAGATTCTGGACTGTGGAAGAGTGGAAAAAGCAAGCTTGAACACTAGCATGAGTACTTTAATTCACTGGTATCTGCCCTTCACTGTGGACATAATGTGTCCAGGTGCTTCAAGTTCCTGCCACTTTGACTGTCCCACAATGATGGATTATGACCTAGAATTATGAGCCAAATAAGCCCTTTCTGCCTTAAGCTGCCTTTGTCAGGGTATTTTATCACAGTAACAGGAAAGAAAACTAATATAAGTGAGAATCCCAAGGTGGGTGGGTGTGTGGCAGGAGGTTTCAAGAAACCAGGGAAAAGGGATACAGAAAGTTTACCAGGATCCTATAGCTAAGTAAGGTGTGTGTGTGTGTGTGTGTGTGTGTGTGTGTGTGTGTGTAAAACACAGATAGGATCCTCCATTCCATGGTCAATTCCCCTAAAAGAACAGCCTATGAACATCAGATAGTGACCCAGAAGCCACCAGGCTCTGTCTGCACAGCAAAAGAATTTGTCCTTGGGCGTGATAATCTAGATCAATTCAGTGTGTAATGCAGATGGGGTCCTCCACTCCATAGCCAAATTGCCCTAAAAGAAATACCTAAGCACATCAGACAGTGACTGCCAGGTGTGATCCAGAAGCCACCAGGCTCTGTCTGCACAGCAAAGGAACTTGTCCTTGGGTGTGGTGACTTAGATCAACCCAGTCTATTTTGTAGCTGAGTATAGCTATGTTGTGATATTCTGGCCATGAGGATGCAAGCAAAAGTAACATGTACAGGGAAGACAGAGCCTGGACCTCCAACGTGATGGGACTGCCCCATTATCTTTGTACCAGTGACAGACAGAGCCTGGACCTCCAACGTGATAGGACTGCCCCATTATCTTTGTACCAGTGACAGACAGAGCCTGGACCTCCAACGTGATGGGACTGCCCCATTATCTTTGTACCAGTGACAGACAGTGCCATACAGGACAAAACTAAACATTCCTTTTGTCTGAGTCCCTATTATTTTCATCCTGTTTCAGCAGCCAATCATGTATTTTAACTAATATAAGGAAAATCAAGGAGGCAACAAAAGAGCCAGGTGGTTTGACTATTCATAGGATCCTAGGAGTCTTTACATAGAGCACACAGAAGCATAAAAAATGGTTTTATGGAAAAGATGAAAAGCAAAGGAAGCCTTTAATGAGGAGTAAGACTTTTTTCCTCAGTGTGTGTGTGTGTGTGTGTGTGTGTGTGTGTGTTGCAAATATGTATGGGCACGGGGTGTGGGTGTAGGGGTGTGTGTGTGTGTGTGTGTGTGTGTGTGTATGGAGGCCCAAGGTTAATATCAGAATCATTCTCAATTGCTCTTCCACTTTATTCATTTAGGCAGGGTCTCCCAGTCAAACCCAAAGCTCCCTGATATGGCCAATCTTGTTTTCCTGTCTCTCCCTTCCAGGGTTGAAATTACAGGCAGGGCCACCACACCCAACATTTACATGGGTTGTGGGGATCCAAACTAGGATTCTCACTCTTGTGCATCAGGTGCTTTAAATATTGAGCCATCTGGGGCTGGAGAGATGGCTCAGCGGTTAAAAGCACTGACTGCTCTTGTAGAGGACCCAGGTTCGATTCCCAGTACCCACATGATGGCTACAGGGTATCTGATACCCTCTTCTGACCTCCATGGGCATTTCAGGACACAGGTGTTTCTCACATACACGCAGGCAATACACTCATACACATAAAATAAAAATAATAAATAAAATATTTTTTTAATTAAAAAAAATTGAACCATCTCTCTAGCCCTAGGAATAAGATTTTGACTGGTATTGATTAGGAAGAGAAGGCACCAAGCAATAAAGGAAAGGAGAATCCACTGTTTCCAATGGGCATGAAGGCACAGACGAGGAAAGCACCTGGAACCCTGGCTCAGAAAGGCCCATGAGGACAGCTTGCATACAAAACACTCCATTCTTCACTGTCTTCACTAAGGATCCACACAGTTTTCTAAGTAACTTATTTTTTCTTTAATCATGAGTTTGCTTCTACTGGGCATCACTATTAGGTATAGTATAAAGAATCTTTTATCCTGAAAGATACATAAAGAAACAGATGGGAAAGTGAGGCCTGGTGGTACACACATGTTAATTCTGGCTACTTGGTAGGCTAGGGCAGGAGATTCATAAGTTCAAAGTTCTGAGCTTCAGAGTACAGTCAAAGCCAACTTGATAACTTAACTTGATTTAAAAATGAAACCAAGCTGGGCATGGTGGCACACACCTTTAATCCCAGCACTCAGGAGGCAGAGGCAGGCAGATCTCTGTGAGTTCAAGGCCATCCTGGTCCACATAGCAAGTTCTAGGCCAGCTGGGACTGCAGGGAGACCCTGTCTCAAAAAGAGAAAAAAAAAAAAAAAAAAGAAGAGAAACCAAAAGAGCTAGAGATAGCTCAGTGGTTAAGACCATGCACCCATCAGCTCACAACCACCTCTAACTCCAGCTTCAGGGGATTCACTGCCATCTTTTGGCCTTGACAGGTACCAGTACACAAGTGACATACACTCAATCAGATACATACACACAAGTAGAAATAAATCTTTAAAAAACAATGAAAACAAACAAAGGTTGGGAAGCTAGGGATATAGATTAGTGGTAGAATATTTGCCTTAGCATGCACAAGACCCTGGCCAGGATCTGGGTTCAAACCCTAGGAGCAAGTACAAGAAAGGGAGGGAGGGAGGGAGGGAGGGAGGAAAGGGGGAGAGAGGGAGGGGAGAAATCAAAGGGGAAATAAAACAAATGAGAACATTAGGCTCTGTCAGTAAACAAACAGATGAACACAGATGGAAAGTACAAAGGCTCCAAATAAACTTCATGGTCTTACATTTGGAGATGGGTCTGTTCTCTCATGCTGTATCTCTTCTTTTCCATTTTCACTTGACTGTGTCATATGGGATGGCCTGCCTTCAATGAAAGTAATGTAGTCTTTGTAAGAGCAGAGTGGGCCTGCCAGGATACCCATGAAGTTGCAGGTATAACTTACATACTCCAGGAGACTTGGCATGCGCCTGCAATGCAAACACATGCGGCTTGTGAGGTGTAGCAGAGCTTTCGAGAAGTTCCACAGGAGTAATAGTTGCATACTCACCGCCTCCACCATTTCTGAAATAAAAGCAGCTTTAATTTTTATTAGTACCCATATTCCAAGAATTTGAAAGACTGGGACATAGTAATACTCAATAGTATTTTTGAGTATGTATGCTCATTAGTTTTAACTATCAACTTGGTCAACCTAGAATCACCTGGGAAAAGAGGTTTCTTGAGGAATTATCTAGATCAGGTTGGGCTGTGAGCAAATCTGTGGGGGACTGTTTTGACTGTTCATTGATGTAAGAAGACCCTGCCTATTTGGGGAAGTATCATTTCCTATGAATGGTTCCCTGAACAGTATAAGAGAAAGCTAGCTGACAGCAAGCGAGCATCTCTGTATTCGCATCTCTCTGCTCTTTGCTGTGGACAGGATATGCTTAGCTGCTTTGAGCTCCTGCTACTGTAACCACTCTGCTGCTACAGATGCTGCCTGCAGGTGTCAGCCAAATAAACCCTCTTTGCTCCCCTAAGTTGCTTTTTGTCAGGATATTTTATCACAGCAACAGAAATGAAACTAGGACAATAGGAAAGTGTTTCACTTAAATTTCTCATGATGAAAGAAACCCAAGATAGTGATGATTCAGCATAAAGAATCAACTATTACTACTCACTTGCCTGTTCAGTCAACGAATGTGTACCAGCCATGTGGCTAGAGGTCTGCAGATAAAGCAGTAACCAAGTGGGGAAATCCTGCATGCAAGGTGGAAGTTGTAGAAAAGTCTTCATATATACATACACATGTGTAATATATATGCATGTGTGTGAGAGCTGTGTGAGTGCAGGTGACAAGGAATCTAGGCAGCGGGAGTGATGACGGGAGGATCCATGAGTGAGCATGCTTAGTACCAAAATAGCCACAGGCTGGAACTTACTACTCAGGGAACAGGGGCAGGAGAAAAGACTGACAGTTGAGGTAAGATCACTGGGGGCCGGCCTTCTAGCTACAGAAGAAACTGTTCATTCTGAATGAGATGAAAAACTATAGTAGAGTTTTAAAGACGATGTTTCACTAGCCTGTATGTGGACATGGTGGAGGCAAGAACTACAGGGAACTACAGCACATGATATGAGCTTGTAGGCATTGGAAGAGGAAAACGCAGGGCTTTGGGCAGTGGACCTGAAGGGTCGGCTGAGGGGTTATGTGTGGGGTCTGAGAGAAACAGAAGTCAAGGATGTCTCAAAACATTTTTAATTCCTTTGCCTTGAGGCCTGCCCAAATGGCCCACAGTATGTACTGTTAAGCAGGCATTCTACTTCACCTAGCAGAGATGAAAAACAACCATCCCAGGGCACAGTAAGTAGGCTTCACTAGGCTAGACTCCCTAGACTCCCTCCTTCCTCTCTACACATGATGAGCCATCTCCTTAGGAAAAACATACTCTTATGAACAAAGTAGTCAAGCAAGCATCCTCTCATATAACCAGGGGGTGTTATTTAAAAGGAATCAATTGAAGCCGGGTGTGGTGGCGCATGCTTTTAATCCCAGATCTCGAGTTTAAAGCCAGCCTGGTCTACATAGTGAGTTTCAGGCCAGCTGGGGCTACAGGGAGACTAAAAAAAAAAAAAAAAAAAAAAAAAAAAAAAAAAAATCATTTGAACAACCCTCTAGTCAAAAGTCTCCTTTTTTGTTTTTTACAAGATTTCTTTTTCTTCCTTTTTTGGGGGGAGGGGGAGATAATGGTAGTGTTTATATTTTTAAGAGTCCCACTCTGTAGTTCAGATCACTGCAGTTCAGGCTGACATGGAACTCATGGCAATTTTCCTACCTCAGCCTTCTGGGGGATATTACCAGTATGAGGCATCATATGTGGCTTTTTTTTTTTTTTTAAGGCAAAATCTCATTATGTAGCCTAAGCTCACCTGGAACTAACCACTTCTTACTCTATGTCTTGTTTCTTGTTTTTATTTTGAGACAGGGTCTCCTGTTGCCTAGGCTCACCTCAGTGTATAGCTGAGGATGATGACCTTGAACTTCTGATCCTCCTGCTTCTAACTCCCAAATGCTGGGATTAAGACAGGCACCATTAAGGCTTGCTAACAGAAGATAATTCTCAGTCATGATATTTGCTGAAGTCATTTTTGGCTTGACTGTCATGTCAAGTCATTTTTTTAAGCTCTGATGTAAGTAACTATAATACTTGCTATCAAAATGAGGACTCACTATTTCATTTGTCACAATAAAGATTTGCTTATTTGGTCCATTAATATTATTATCAACTATGTGCTTCCTTAGCTTAGTTAGGAGTTCTCAGCCCCCCTTAGCTAACATTTGGGGTATTTCTTTGTTGTAGGGGACTATACTGAATGGTGGATGTTTGGCCTCTACCCACTGAATATCAGAAGGGCTTCCCTGGCTGTGACACCCAGAAATGCCTCCAGACACCGTCAAATGTCTCCTGGGACAAGAATCACTCCCTACATAGGAAATGGGAACATAAGAATAACCAGACAAAGCTCCAGTCCTCACTGACCTCAAACTCAAGGACAGAGAGAGAGAGGAACAATGAAAATAAACACTCAACACCCAATAGTACGTACATTAAAAAACAACAACAACAAGGTAGCACAAAGGGCTAGGAAGTGCGCTAGAGGGAGGGGATTTCTGATGGGCTGGTCTATTTAAAGAGGGGGTGGCTGGGTATGGGGTACACCCTTATAATTCAAGTACTTAGGCAGGACAGCAAGAGGATAGCAAGTTTGAACCCAGCCTGGTCTATGAAATGAAACCCTGTCCTCTCACTCCAAAACAATAAACAAAAAATAAATAGAGAGAGAGAGAGAGAAAGCTTTGAAATGAAGAGTGTAGCTCTCTGGGCTCCCTTTGGAGCTTGATGCTGTGGTCAGAAGTTTAAAGCTTATTATAAATTACACAGGAAGGCCCTGGAGATTTTTATCACAAGGGGGGAGACAAACAACCCTAAAACATTTCAAGGCATATTAAAAGGATCTCTGGAGGATGGAGAGCAAGAAGATTCAAGTTCAAATCTCCAGCATCCACTTAAAAATCTGGACACAGCTGCCTGTGCCTATACCACCAGAGTATGATTAGAACAGGAGATAGAAACTGTACAGGCAGTTAGGGCAAGGACTCCCAAAATAGCAGCTCCAGAAACGCCCTAGGTTCTAGGCCAGGAATGTCAGAAGGGAGCTCTGGCTTCTTATCTCCTAAAGGAATGCTCCCACCTGGAGTCCATACATGAGGGTAGGGACTAGAACTCAAGTCCAGACAATAATAAACCCCTCTGGTGAACAGCTCTGGAACTGGATCTGTATATTTCCAGAGTGAAAATGGGTTCTATCTATCCCCTAATTTCATCCTGTCTCCTAAATTATTTTAGGGTTACCTCTTCAGGGGCAATGACATAGCAGCAGTGAAGGCCCATTACAGGAAAGCTCTGGACTGGGTGGAGAACTAACCATCCAAGCCACCCAAAACACAAGGGTTAATCCACTTGGGCCTATCAAACACCCATCAAGGGACCACCCTTAGGAAGGCAGGAAGGCTGGCTTACCTTAAGCCAAACTAAAGAGATAGGTGGAATAAGTATCCCTTTAATGAGATATGGTACTTTCCCTTCCCAGAATTTCTGCCCCTAACACAATCCCTACGGCCCACCACAAGGTACTGTTGGGTCTACCTACCTTTCTGAGTAAAGGTGCAACTTTTTATTTTTGTCTTTTCTGTCCCATTTTTCCAGTGCTGGTCAGAATCTGAGTATGCTTTTTCTGGTACTTTGGGCTTCCTAAATCTTTCTTTAAAGCTGCTCTGCCTTATCATGTGTTTGGTTACTTGTCTGCCATGTGACTGACCTCCATGCAGGCTTAACTCAAATGGCATGGCTTTTTTCCTCCTCTTCTTCATTATCCTCCTCTGGGCAGCTGCTGAGATTCACAGCTTGCCTGCCCTGGGATTTTGTCTAGTTTTGTTTTGATTTCTGAGCCAGGGTTACACTATGTATCTCTAGATGACCTGAAACTCCCTATGTAGACCACGCTGGCCTCGAACTCACAGAGATTCACCTGCGTCTCTGCCTCAGAGATGCTGCGATTAAAGAAGTATACTACCATATCCAGCAAGGGTTTTTCTTTTAAGCTCTAAGAAAACTGTGCTCTTTGAATAAACTTAGGCTTTGCTTAATTTTTAAACTTTCCTTGCCTTTTAATTCTTTAACTGGCAGGGGAAACAAACCCATTCCTGTACCCCTAGATGGAATCGCATGTGTAGGTAAGGAAGGGTGGGGAGGGATAAAGACAAGAAGTTCCTGGGAGCTTGCTGGCCAGATAGGCTAGCTGAAATGGTAAGCTTCACAGGTACAGAGAGACCATGTCTCAAAAAATAAGGCAGAGAGCTCTATAGTAAGACACCAACATCCTCCTTTGGTCCCTTCGTGCACATTCACAGTTGCAGTCGATCTCTCTCTCTCTCTCTCTCTCTCTCTCTCTCTCTCTCTCTCTCTCTCTCTTTCTCTCTCTCTCTCTCCCCCTCTCTTTCTCTCTCTCTCTCCCTCCCTCCCTCCCTCCCTCTCTCTCAGTGGATCTCTGGATGCAATCTAAAAGTCCACTACAGAGGGCAAGATGAAAAGTGGGGCAGCCTGGAAAGCTACCTTTTAAACCTAGTAGAGGATCTGGAGGTGACATGAGTGGAGTGGCAAGAGGCAGTCATACTAGAGATGACTGAAAGGTTACAGAATTTGCTAGTGGAATAAGTTTTGCAATTAAATGGGAGTCTGTGTGTGTCCCCCTCAGCCACTAGTAGTTATTGATACCATTAGCCAACAAGTGTCAGCAGTGGAAAAACACAGGGGGTGAGAGGTAGGGGGAGACAGAAACTAGGACTTCTATTTTGAACACACCTAACACTATCAAGGCAAGGATACTGAAAGAGACTAGAGATCAGGGAGAGGGCCAGGGAGGAAAGGGCAGGTGGCATTTGAAGCCACCAGCTGCCATGGAGGCCCCTGGGGAAAGCTGAGAAGACCAGGTCTGCACTCTGGGGTACAGGAACAGGCAGTGGGAAGGCAGAGGCAGAGGGTTCAGCAAAGGAGGCAGAGTACAGGCCAGGGAGCAGGGAACAAAAAGCACAAGAATGCAATGTTCAGGAAGACCAGTGAGGAGTGGTCAAGTGGGCCAGTACTGCTGTGGCTGACCATCATGCCAACAGGCCAAAGATGAAACATGCCAAGACAGAAGGGGGACACACACCTAACTACAGGGGGCAGAGGAGAGAAAGAAAGTGGAGATGGGGAGGGGGACTACTGTGGAGGAGGGGGAGTGTCAGGGACAGGAAGATGGTGGCTAGATGGAAATACATGATGAAACTAGTTTTTTCTTCAAGCTGGGTGTGGTGGGGAACCCAGTTAACCAGGAGATAAAAGAAGGAACGTGATTCGAGATGAAAAGATGAAAGCCTTACATGGAATTATGGGCAGTTAATACTCAGTACCACAAAGGGACATATCTTCAAATTTAGGCAGTTTGGTGGGTTTTATGATTACAGAATGATGTTGAGTTGCTTTTATTTCTCAAAAATAAAGAAAAAATGAAAAGAAATTTTGCTACTGTCAAGCGTATAAATTCTTTCCATTTGGCTTTCTCCCACTACTTGGCAGCTTGAGAGTGGAGTTTAACTAGAATGGGACATGTGCCAGATATAATTGAGAGGGAAAAGATAACCTGGCTAAGTGCCTGTGAATAATGGTGACTGGGGTAATCAAGGACAAGGAAAGATCAAGAACCCAGACAGACTAATTTCTTATCAGGTAAGCAGACTCAACTGCATGTGTCCTGTTATATGAAGATTGATAATGGGAAAACTGACAAATGTGCAGACATGCTACCTGGGATGAAAGTAGACAGTGACACAGGTCTATCCACTACCTTCTAGCAACTGTGGATTTGTTAATCTTGTATTTAGAAACAAGGTACTCCACAGGAATGCTTTTCTTTAAAGGTAAAAGAAGCCTGTGTTCTCTAATTAAATTACATTGAGATAGACTTTGTCAAGAAACCAACCATTCCTTAGGCGACAATTCAGAAGCAAAGGTGACCCCAGAATGAACTCATCAAACAATTATCAGCAACATCAGAGTGGCACCTCTGTACTACATGGATGTTTTACGCACTGGCCAAACACTGTCATCCAGTCACTGGTCTACAAATGGTGGCTGCTCTTATCATTAGTAATTACTACACAGCAGACATACTAACTCCTGTTTTTGAGGAAGAATGAGTCTCACAGAGACAGAACATGTGGACAGCTCTCACATGGTCCACAGGAGGCACACATTGTACAATGACACAGGCATGGACCAGGAAGCCTTGGAGGGACACCCAGCCTAGCACAACATAACATAGTGACAAGGAGCCATGCAGGGGGAAGAAGGCTCTGTTTCCATGAACCAGTGCCTCTGGAAGGACTAGGAAGCCTTAGAAATATGAATGTGTTCTGGGCAGAGAAGGCACAAAGCATGGGAGATGCAAAGACACATACCTTACAGCTAATCCCCTCTGTGATGGAGTCAGTTCTTCATCCTTTCGAAACATGCCTGAGAAGAAAAAGAGGTACTTTTGTTAGTTACGTTTTCTTACAAGAATGGCACTTGCCTCATTTGAAATTCATGCAATAATCCCAATTTTTATCTAATGATTGTCCCTTTCTTTCTCACAGCAACACAGATTCAGTCATGTTTGGATCATCATGTAACCCAACCCACCAACCCATGAGTAAGATAAATAACACATTCTGGAGAAAGGAAGATTACTAGTCTGATTCCTCTCTGAAGGAAATTATCATGAACAACAACAAAAACAAAATCTTAAATATTCATACTTTTTAATTTACAAATTAATTATCCTTAATAGGAAAAGATATGACTTTTCAAAAAGGCATTAAGACTCTTTAAGGATAATTTAGATGACTGAACCTCTGTGCCATGGACTAGCAGCTTGACAGAGCAGTGACGAGGTCCCTACTCTCAAACAACTTCAGCGAACACAAATGGAATCAAATATATTATCTTCACCTATCTATCTGCCTTTACTCCCAAACAGGAAGCTATTGCTACAACTACACACCAACTTACTAAACCATATGCTTTGAAAAAAACCAAAATGATAATATCCCCCAACAAAGCAAAATTCACCCAACTAAAAAGCACCGAGATAACTAGACAGAAACAAAGAACATGGAAAACAAATTACAAAAAAATAGAAATATCCAACTAATATATAAAATGATAATTTCATTATTAATTATGGAAACATAATTAGTTAAGAAATTTCTGGGAAGCTAAAGCAGTGAGACCCCAAGTTCAAGGCCAGACTGGATTATATACAGCAAGTCCTGTCACCAAAAAAAAACCCAAACAAAACAAAAAATACCCAATTGTTAAAATAACAAGATGCCATTTTTTACTTCTAAGTATTCAGAACTTTTAAAGGGCTTTTATCCCTATAGCATGATATTAATTATGTAACACAGACACATTTAATGTATGATACATGTACATGAAACAAAGATGAGAAAAAAAATCATCTTAAGATACTATACAAACTGTTTAGCACTGGAAAAAGAGCAAAGAGAAGCAAATTCTCTGCTGTGGAGCCCTCATAGTCAAGTAGGAGGCATGTAAAGAAATGAACCACAAGATGGAAATCACATTGTTTCTGTAAACCAGTAGAACAAATCTTCCTCTCCTCTAATCCTAGACTCTAGCCTAAGGAAATAATTAGAGACATGATTTCAAATTTATGACGAGAATCATCACAGCCTTACACATATAGGCAAAAAAAATTTACCTATATATCCAATAATTATGGAATGGAAAATAACTGCACATCTACTTTGACAATTAGCCACAAAAAAATCAGGTCTATGAAAAAGATAAGAGAAGTCAAAATTGCTAAGAAGGAGTCTGACTCTCAGGGGTCCTTAGGGGGAGACAAGGTTCTTTACTTTGTTTCTTTATAGTTCTTTATATTTACAAGTTTCCCTCAATGAGTAGGAACCTACTTTTGGAACCAGTAGAAAAAGCAAAACCACACTTAAAAGAAGACTGGAGATGAGGAGAAGGTTAAGCACAATCCAGGGACCCCAGAGGATACTGCCACTATCAATAAGTCTACTTTTCTTCCCCACATGGGACTCATCTGCCCCTTCCCAAACAATCTAGGGCTATCTCTACAAATGACCACTAGTATTCTGTTTTTTTAAAAAATATTTTATTTATTATTTTTATTTTATGTGTATGCGTGTATTGCCTGTATGTAGATAAGTGCACCTGTGTCATGCAGTGCCAACGGAGGACAGAAGAGGCTATCGGATCCCCTGGAACTGGAGTTAAGGACAACTGTTAGCTGCCATGCGGGTGCTGGGATTCGAACCTGGGTCTTCTGCAAGAACAGTCAGTGTTCTTAACCGCTGAGCTATCTCTCCAGCCCCATAGTATTCTGTTTTTAAAAACTTTTCTTGCCAGGTATGGTGGTGCAAGCCTTTAATCCCAGCACTTATGAGACAGAGGCAGGTGGATCTCTGTGAGTTCAAGGCCAGCCTTATCTACAGCAAGTCCCAGGCCAGCTGGGACTACAGGGAGACCCTGTCTCAAAAAAAAAAAAAAGACAAAACAACAACAATAACAAAAAACTTTGCTTTCCCTCCTTCCCTTTCCCCCTTCCTTCCTTTTACCAGAAGGGGCATGTAAACAGTCTTATCTGAGATGCCAAGCCTTGGTACATATAAACTTTCTGTTATGTTTTGTTCAGCACTTCTTTGTGTGTGGAGGGCATGCTTGCCAATCCATGAGAGGTCAGAGTTCAATGTCAGGTAGCCTCCTCCATTGCTGTCCTACATATTCCTATATATTCAATAATTCAAACCCTATACATTCAGTAATTGCCGAAAGGAAATTAACTGCACGTGTATTCTGACAATTGGGTACAAAGAAAATCAAATCAGGTCTATGAAAAAAAATAAAGAGGAAGAGGTCAAAATTACTAATAAGGGAGTCTGGCTCTCAGAGACCCTAAGCATTTTTTTGTTTGTTTGTTTCTGGATACAGGGTCTCAGCTGAATCTACAGCTCACCATTTGAGCTAGGCTGGCTGATCACCAAGCCCCTCAGATCATCTTGTCTCTATCCCCATCAGGGCTGAGATTACAGATGCACCTGCCGTGTCCAGCATTTATGTGGGTGCTGGGGATCCAAACTCAAGTCCTTATGTTTGCACTGCAAGTAGCTCTACACCCTGAGCCATCTCTGCCCTTGCTCAGCATTTCTAAGTGTTTGGTGTAGGGTGGAGCTTCCTTAACAGCGTTCCTCCACCATGCTGACCAGGGAGGCTACTATCATTTTAGAACTGCAAGTCAGCCAAGGGAAGTAGACATATAACGTATATATGCCTACCTTATAAGGGAGATATTTTATTTTTAAAAAATTTATTTCTATTTTAAGAGTATGAGTGTTTTGCCTGCCTGTATGTAAGTGAACCTGTGTTGTGCAATGCCTGTGGAAGGCAGAAGAAAGCTTCAGATACCTTAGAACTTTAATTAAGGACAGCTGTTAGCTGCTGTGTGGGTACTGGGAACCAAATGTAGGTCCTCTGCCACAACAGACAGTGTTCTTAACTGCTGAGCCATCCTGTCAGCCGAGATATTTTCATAGAACAATTTTGTCTATACATACAGGACCAGCCTCCCTCCACGGTTCAAACTTTGGGTACTTAGAATGACTCAAAACAGATTAAATTAAGATACTATTTGTTTAAGCTAGAAGACGAACACTAAGACAGATTAAGGCAGTGTAGAATATGATAGGAAACCAGACTCCTCATATTCCCTTATCGGGCACAAGCACCCAGTTAGGCTGAAGTACTCCTACTATGAATGATATCAAAGAACTTGTAAAGCAAGAAAAGCTATGTCTTCCCCAGGACTTTGCTACATGTCAGAAGTCAAGACCACACACTGCTGGAGGCCTCAATAACCTCTTGTGCACAATTTAAAGCCAGAACAGCAGGGCAGGAGGTTGGATTCTGTGAGGGGGCCAGATATCTCAAAACCATTCCTGAAGCTGCTGGTATGAATGCTACTGTTGCACAGGCCATTGAAAAACAGCCAAGAGAGTTCCACACCCAACAGTCTGTACAGATTCACACAGCATGATGCTGCTGTCCTTAGTAGGGCCTGCCTGCAAGGGTGACCATGTCTGGTGTCAGGAGCTTGGGAGGCACACAGTCCTACACTGAGATAAGTGTTCCTTAGGCCTCAACTATTGTGCCAGCCTGGTTTATTCTGAACATCTGCTTTCCTGACAGAACTATGACATACACTGGGCACTGGGTACCTGTATGACCAGACCCTGACAAATGTCTAAGGAACTTTCTGGCAGATGACACATCACAGGTGTTCTCCTACTTTGCTGCTCCAGAATTCAGTGCTGTCTCTGTGACTCCACTGGGAGGGGACTCTGGGAAATTTGTGCCTAGTTTCTTCTGGACTTCATTATAGGTACTTCTGTCCTTAGGAATCCTCAATGGAATACAACTTAGCCATGAACACACTGCATGCTGAGAGATCTATGAACTGCCAAACTGTGGATGGGCTTGGGATCCCCAATACTGACAAGGAGGCCCTCTCTTGTAAGAGTTGCTGAGGAAACAGGGGCTAGTGGGTGTTGGATCCAGCCCTGAAGCAGAAAATGGTGGATGGTTGGTCTGCGTGAGGATGTCTGGTAGGAGAGACTTCATCAAGACGAAGGAGGAGCCATGTGTAAAGCTAAAGAATCTGAACTCTTCAATAATCAAAACTGTCTCAGAGACAACACTCACTATAGTATACATATACTATCAGCAGGTGCTTCTAGACCTATGGACGGAATGACATTCCTGATCCATGATACCCTATATTGTCCTTCCAGAGCTCCAGGTGGGACCTGTCACTGTGGCACAGAACTCTCAGTACCTGAAGATAACAGGATACCTTGACCTACAGCATTTCACAGTATGAGCTTCATGACTATGGTATCAGGGTCTAAGTTCTGCCCATGTCCCTTGTTCAGGATCCAACAACTATGAGACACTATCCATCAACTGTAATGCACAAAAAGACACTCCAAGGTGGGTCCAACTATGAGCTTGGAAATGAGAAAGCCAAAGAAGCAGCAGAACTGGAATCTGGATCTCCAACAGCCATCCCATGCCTTACCCTGCACAGGCCACCACCTCTGGGGAGTATACAGGAAGTATCTGCCCTAGGAGGAGATGCTCTAGGAGGAGATGTTTAATCCTAGGAGGATTAAACATGGACCAGTGACTGTAAAAAAGAAATCTGTTCTGTTTTCCAATTTCCCCCTAAAATGTAGGTAATTTTGCTTATCAGTAGCAAAAAGAAAAAGAAGGAAACCTCCTTTATGCCCCAGCACTGTCAATGTGTGTGAGGACCAGGTTGGAGAGTGGGAGGACCAGATTGGGGAGTGGACAGAGGATGGAGGAATCCACATGTAGGGCCAAGCAGATAACTTTCCTAAACAAGATATGCCTTCCATACCTGA